TACATACAGACACACACACACACATAGACACGTGCATACATGTTTAAGTTCTACTCTAGCACAACAGATGGAGAATCATAATCACCTCTACCCTCTTTGTAAGCTGCTGCAGCCTTGGAGTTGCTCGGGGCAAATCACACACTCCACGAATTTCGGGAGCCTTCAATATACATTAAATCCTGGTATATATCCGATCTGTGAAATCCTAAAGCACAAATCCCCGCCCCATGCCGCAGTCGCCTGGAACGGCCACGAACACGGCTGCCAGCAGCAAGGACCTTGCTTTAATTGGTTTGACAGAAACACTGCCGAATCGTGTATCGGCAGGATGCGCAGGAGGGTGGCGTCGGAAGACCCAAGAAGGCTTGTGACGCTACAGCATGTGATAGGGTCTGAGTGGGTTTCAAACTCAGGAGTGTTCACGATGCTTGCAGGTTCGTACCGAGGAAGAGAAGAAGGCGGCTGCGCTCGATGCTGGTCTGAGGCGGATTTGCACGCCCAAGGCCAAGACAGGCAAACTAGATGTGGCCCCGGAAGTCTACCAGCAGTGGAAGAAGGGTGGAACGGAGCGAAAGCTTCTTCTTGAACACTTCATTCAGGCAGGAGCGAACAAGGACTGATACACAAACCCAATTCCTTGATTAGCCTTTTAAAATAAACCACCATCCCTGACAGGACGCCTTCATCAAGCGCATCGAGCACATCCGGACCAAGTCCCGGACCAGCAAGCTGGTTGTCAGTAGCGGTTGGTACACAAAGGATGCCATGAAGAAAACCCTTGGATGGCTTCCGCAGTTTGGCTTGCACGTGGGTTCAGTTTTGCTCCCCTGCTGATTACAGTTTGTCAAATGTTTCAACTAAGGGACCGCATCAGGGATGTCGTTCAGTACTGCCTGCAGAACCCCAAGGCCTTGGTTCGGTTCCATCCTGAGTCATGCCTTTTCTTCAGACGGGTGTTGGCTACTCTTTTGGGCATTCCAATTGTGCCGAGGCGGGACAAGTACCAGAAGAAGCTCAAGGAGTACTGGGTGGATGTTTCTACCCAGGGCACCTTTCAGAAGACCTCCGAGGAAGTTTTCAGGGAGCAGTTGTCGGGGGAAGGAATGGCCGACGATATCACTGTCGGAGGTGTCAACCCAGGCGAACCCCTGGATGCCAGTTCGGGTGAGTCCTCTGCAGGGGAGGATGAGTCAGATGATGACGCTGACAGTGGTGCTGGGAAACCTCGCAAAGGGGGCCGGGGCAAGGGTAACGGAAATGCCAAGACATCCATTGAGGAGGAGAAAGCCCTCGAGGTGAATTGGGCTGTATATAGATTCAGCTAAAGGGCGTTTCTCGGTTATGCCCCGAATGAGCACCCTAAACCTTAGAAACCCTAAACCTATAAACCCTAAACCCTATATAAGCCCTAAGCCTTCTGCAAACCCTTTACCAACCTATAGCCCCCCCTTATGAACCCTTACAACTTTTGCACATCTGTAAAGACCTTCTACATGGATTTCTTCATCTTTCTTTCTACATAATTATATACATATATATATATATATACATAGACATATTATCTAGACGCCCTTTGAAGCCCTGAGAAACGACTTCTCAACCCACGAAATTAATATGGTAGGGTGTCTCAGAAAACTTAAGGGTGCCTCGGGTTTCGTGCTAACCTGTTGCAGATCACATAAGTCTTGGATCCCAGGCAGTGGAGAATGTCGGCGCCGTGATGACGAATATCCTTCGCACACAGGGGAAGATGGAGGATCTTACCCTGAAGCTTCAGGCTTTGAAGACGGCTGAGGCCACGCAGCTTCTAGCCCAAGATTGTGTGACACCCACGGTTCGAGCTGTATGGTGCATGTTGATTTCGGGATCACTATGTTAAGGAGCGAAGAGACGATTCGCAAGCATGTTGGTGAGATCATGAAACTTCATGACAAGATGGCTGACTTGAAATCGTACTTCGATGGACATGGTGCGATGAGCCCTGAGCGCCTCGGTGGTATGATCCCTACACTTCCCACATGTGTAGCCGTCAACAATACACCACATTATCCCAGAAGCCCGAAATCAAGCAAGGAAAACGGCTGAGCTTCAGAAGCTGGTGCAGGCGGTGGAAACTGCGTACGGGCCTTATATCAACAAAAATCGAACCAACTCAATCCAAGATCTGTAATCCCGGCGCCAGGTGCAGCCGTGCGATGATGGAGGATACGAAGCTGAAGAGGCTGGGATTCTCTGCAGTTTAGCTATCACAAGCCGGCCGTTTTGAGAACCTATACTATCCCTCAACCCCATGTGTGCCTGAGCCAGGACTTTGCTTCGCCCGAAGACGAAGCCACCTTCGCAGGTTCACGGGGTGCCAGGTGTATTGTCCGGTTCTTCTTGGCTTGCACTGATTACAGTATTCCCTGCAGGAGGGCCCTGGGAAGGCATCGGGAAAGGGCCCTAGCAGCAAGGGTGCCAAGGCCAAAGCTAAGCCTGCTGCGAAGAAGAAGTGATCAGGAGACTGGTTCATGCAATCGTAAGACTAAAACTGTGCTTTATGCCGGCATGTCAAGGAGCCCGCACACAACCAGGCCTCCATGTTGTATCCAACGGGACGGCGCTCGTCCTTCGAAGCATGGTGTGAGCCAGTGCTTTTGGGCTTTGAGCTTTTGTGCAGGAACTACTGCTATAGCAACACAAACTAGGCAGTATTCTATGATGGGCCTTGGCCATGCAGGTCACGTTCTCTAGACTCCTATACTTTGCAGCAGCAGGTTCTTGTATGTCTAGATCGAGTTGGACTTCCAACCCGCCACAGTGCACTTGCATGCTTGTGTGGGAAGCATGTGCTCACAAAAAGGCAACCGCTCCATTGTTCAGATGCCGGGTCGTGCGATGTGTCTCTTCAACAAAGCATCTCACTTATCGTTGGGAAACCCTATGGACCCTAAGCTATACACTCGGAACCCTATAAACCCTAAACCTCATGGGCCTGTAGCCCTATAAACTCTAAACTCTGAAAACCGAAACCCCAAAACCCAAAACCCAAACCCCTCGGAGCCCTGTAGTTCCCACCATGTCTGATCTTGCGCTCTGCGTAGCCCAGCCCAAACCCGAAGTCCTCCCCCAACGCAGGCATCCATGGTGCAGCGGCAAAATGCTCGAAGAAGTGCGGTCCTGCCGCACAGGGGGTGGCCAAGGCCGTCGGTGCTGGGGTCCCGTGGCTGCCCTAGCCTATACCTGCTACTGCTGTTTGTTGTTATTCGGCTAACAGACTTCTGTTGACTAGTGTGAGCAGCTCTTATCGGGTCCTTCCCTCGACAGCCCAGTCGTATTGCATGATTTTGTGTTAGTTTGATCGAAACAAAGGTAAGCGAGACACAAGCTTGTTCTTTGGCTTCTGCTTTCTGGCAAGAGATTCGGCATCTCCCCGGTGTTGAGAACATTGCGAGTGCTGAATTTCTAAAGGAAGCTGATCGTCTTGTTTCCACAGGGCACGAGACCCGCCTGGGCCAATCCTTGATAAAATACCACATGGAGGCCAAGCTTGACGTATCCTTTGTGGACGTTTTTCTGAAGAAACCCCATCCTATTCTGGCGATTCGGGACTTCGTTGAGGGACTGTCTCTTGAGGACCACATGACGACCCTTTTTCATGGGCACGAGGCTGCAGACTATGCGAGATTCTGGGCCGATTGGCAGAAGGTGCAGCCCGACCATCCGGTTTACGAAGTTCATGCTGGCCGTTTAGACAAAGTCGTACCAATTTGGATTCATGCCGATGAGGGTACCAGCCAAAAGAAAAAAGGACTTATGGTCCTTTCCTGGCAGCCTTTGCTTGGACAGGGGACGCAGCGCAAACCGGACTCCAGCTTGAACTTTCTGGGCCCGAGTGTTTCGACTCGTTTGTTGTTTTCTGTTATGTCCACCCAGCTATACAACACAGCCAGCAAGAAGAAACGTCTTATGGCTCTTGCCGATGTTTTTGCGAGAAACCTTGCTGATTGTTTCGAGCGACCTATCGATGTTGCCTGGAATGGCACTTCCGAGCAAATCTACCTGTGCTGCTTGGGCATGAAAGGCGATTGGCCTGCCTTAATAAAACTGGGAAATCTCAATCGACACCACTTGCGTGACACGTGGTCAACAGATGCCGGTGCCGGCATCTGCCATTACTGCATGGGTGGCATGCGGGGGCACGCTTGGCATGATTTATCATTCGCCAATATGCTGGCCATGAGACAGGATGCACCGCCGCCGTGGTCCACCCCCCCTGTGCTGATCCAGCACGTGCCCCACAGCATTCTGCAGGAGCCGTACTTTTTCCGCATCGACCTCTTCCACCTCATGCACAAAGGTGTGCTGGCAGATGTTGCTGCCAATGCGATGGTTTCCCAGCTCGCACCATATTTCTCTGTGAGTATAATGTTTTCTGTCACGGATCCACTTTAGATTTGTGGGGTTCTGCTGTTACAAATACTTGCGCTGTCGGAGGTGTCATGCTACGATTTTGCGCTCTTCGGCTGGGTGTCGTCTGATAAGAGCTCATGGAACCTGTGCCATCTGTTTGGGGATGCAAAGCAGTTTTGCCAAGCGCATGGCCTCGAACTTCACATGTCAAATTTGACAAACAATCAGCTGGGGCTGGTGCGAAAGACGGACTACCCGAAAGGGTTGGGCCCTCAACATTAACAACGTTTTCTTTATAAGCTATTTAGTTTATATAAGTCTCATAATATAACATTAGTTTAGTAAAGAAACCGTATCTTTAGGTATTATTCTGTTTGGGTGGGGTCGACTAGGTTGTGGTTCAAAGGGAACGACACGACATCTTTGTGCAAATATTTGGAGTGGAAGCTCAAGGATGTGCACACGAGCACCGACATGAGTGGATCCGACCAGCTATACTTTGCTGAAATGGCATCTTTGCTGTCTTGTGGCAACAAGCTGATGCACCGACTGTACTTTGCTGGCTTGTGGTTGTCAACAAAAGAACGTGACAAGATCATTGCTGTAGGGGACAAATTCGTGTCCACGTTCATGCTGCTGGCCCAAATGGCCTACGACTGGGATTTATGCCGCTGGAAAGTGCAAACGAAATTCCACATGCTGGGAGAGCTTCTCTTCGGCCTGAAGATGGATAGGGTCAGAGGCTGCAGATCACTCAATCCTCTTTCCTACTCCACACAGGTGGACGAAGATTTTATTGGAAAGGTCAGCATATCATCAAGATATGTCAGTTCTCGTGCCCTGCACGAGAAGACCATTCACCGGTACTTGTTGAAGCTCAAGCAATGTTGGGCCTAATGTTGTTGATACTCTAGGTAGATGATCATACAGGCCCCGAAGAATTGAAAACATACTGCCCTCCGTTGTCCTTGAAGTCTTCAGCACATTCGAGAAGAGCATGGCGAAGAGGCCCGTGGGCGTGTCGAAAACATCTCTGGGAAGCATATAATCGAGCTGTTTAAGGAGGGCTGTTGACTTCTTGGGCTTTGTGGTTCGTTCAGTATGGGATCTACAGAAAGATTTGTAGGGTTTGCAGAATGCAATAGAGGTTTGATGTTTATGTAGGGGTTTATGGTGCGGGAAGGTGGAGCCAACAAGCACCGGGCCCCCACAATCAAGAACGCCTATTGAAAAACACCCCAAACATCCCCAAACCCTATAAATCCAAGAAATGTACACTATCCCCAGTGGCGGCTCTGGCCTGCCAGAAATGTCTACTTCCGGTAATAGCCATTTAAAAGCATGAACTAGGTTGTCCAGGTAGGGTTGAGGGGTTCTACTTCTTGAAGCTGTTGCGGAATTCGTGGCACGCGCACGACCCTGAGCCCGATAAGTCGGTCTAAGAATTGCGCTGGGACGGCAGTTAAGCCCTCATGTCGGAGCTGCAGAGACTTCATCGGACTCTATATGACTCTATATGGGTGCCTATAAGTATCGTTGCGCTGGCGATCGCAGTGCAGAGCTTGCGCAAGGTCTTCTGCAGCGTTTGCGGATGATTGTCTTCAAACCTAGATGCAAACAAACTGTCTGAAGGCCATACCCGCGACTCCGAGACCTCCAAGCACTGGCCAAGCACAAAAAGATTCAGCCACTCGCCCGGATCGCAGTGATGCGCCCTGTTCATGCGACAAGAAAGCTTGAGATGTGACTGAAGCATTCCCGGTTCGATTTCACGACCCGTGAAATCTCATCACAACTTCGGCCCGTAAAGGGCTTGGCCTGTGTATGCGCGGGCAGTTTGTCGGACGGAGGCCGATCAAGAAGCGACGTCAAACAACCCGCCGACCAAGCATACGTAACAGGACAAGTCCAGCCCACAATTCTGGCAACTTCTCGTTGACCTGTCTCCGAGACTATCCCTTCCGCAACTGCGACAACAGAAACTGGCAGAGCCTAAACCCCCAGACCGAAGTCCCCAAAGAGCCCGAAAGCTCCAATTCCCAGCATGCCTCACTCGAAGCAACGGCACTGGCCTCGGGTGGGCAAGTGGACATGGGACTAATTAATAGAACTCTGAATCTTTTCCGACCACAGCCCATGTGCACTTGTTTCTGTTGAAGTTTCCATGTGTTGTCCTTTTGGCATACCAGGGTCTCGGCTTCAAATCCGCGACATCTTCAACAAACAACCCCAAGCTTCGGCAAAACATTGCGACTGGAAGACTGTCAATTTGTTGGACTGCTGTGGGCCCTATAGATCAAGGATCAGCTTCATGCTGCCCAATCGCAGTCTACAATGCCTGCTACTCTTACACTAAACCCTAAACAATTAAACCCTAAAGCAGCAAGGCTAGGGATCGGACACCGGCACCCATGGTCAGGTCAGGGCACCTGAACACGAAAGAAGCCCCACCTCTTCACCGCCTTCCCTTTGAGGGTTTGGGGTTTAGGGTTTGGGGCTCGTCCCTAAAGCTAGGCATCAGATGGAACCTTCTAGCGATCCTGCTGCACAGAACTTCTGGGCCCCCAGTCCGAGACCAGACCTCATTTTCGCATCCCTGCAGCGACGTTACGGCCTTCCTAGAAGCCAACAAAAGGCGCAAACGAGTGCAAACACCGGAAGCACTGAACCTGGAAGCATTAAACGTAAAGGTCTCAGCGTCTACTGATCCACTAAATCCAAACTGTAAAGAACATGCTCGTCGAGCTTCTCGCGCACAAACAAACAAGCAAGCAAACTAACCAAACAAACAAACACGAACACACGCTAACAGCATCCACCCCGGACGGACAGATGGAATTCTTAGAGTCACCTGCATCACGCAAGGAACCAACCTGCTTCCAAAAACCTGAGACCCGAAGGCTGAAGATGCAGAGGCCACCACACGGCTTTAAGCTCGGGCTTCCAGGCGCCTTTAGGCACTTCGCATCTCCTTCGCCGATGGGCTCTTGTGGCCCGGCTTGGCCGGGCAAGGAAAAACGGGCCGTGAAAGACGAGGAGCATCGGATCACACAGCGGAGGGGCTGCAACAGAAAGCTTGATTTAGCCCCCGGGCTGTGCTATGCACCCTGGGACGATGCCGGACTCGACTATAGACTATCATTATAGCACTCACATGGAACCGAAGGGCCAGTGTGGGATGTGGACATGCGGCGGCAGTGCAGGATGTGGATATGCCCGTAGCTTGAGTGGTCTCGGCTGCGTGCACGGTCCCTTTTAGGCTCTCGGATCACGGACACAGCTCAGTGCTCCGGCCTCTAGCACGTTTGCTTAGACTTTGCTTGAACCGTCCTCGCGTCTTCTTACGGCTTTGGATGCATTACAGGGCAGATCGGCTCCATCTCGAGCCTCACTCGGAACCCAGCCTCCCTGACCTTTGACTGCTGGGACCGCATCAGACGTGTCTCTGAAGCTCTGACGGAGAAGAGTGGAAACGGACAGCTTGTTGGCTCCAGCAAAATGAACCACAACTGTTCCTTCCCGGTTGTAAAGCTGCAATACGCCGGCCCCGAATGGAGTATAGTAAAGAAGGCAGCTATGCTATGCCAAAATTGAACCCTGGCCTCGCACACTTGGCTTTTTTGCTGCGAGGCTTTGACACACGCACGGCTGTGAGGCCCCTCGGTCATCAGCGAGGCATTCTCAAAGGCCTCAGATTAAACCAGGCCGTCACAGTCACAAGCCAGGCTTCGCAGTCCAGGAGTCGGAAATATCTCTTCGCAGGTCTCTGGAGGCTGCAGGCTTAGGCAGGGGCCTATCCTTCCCGAGCGCCGGACCCAGCGCAACTCCCACTTCAGCCGCGGTGGCGAAGCCCAGCTGTGGCTGCAAAGTTCTGGCAGCGAACTCGGGTGTGGCATCGTGTGCAGAGCCATCTGCTTGTGAGACAATTGACAATGTTGGCTCGGAAACTTCAGGCAGACTTAACGACTTAACGAAATCGGGCGTGTAGTTTCTCTTTTGTCACTATGCCTAGTGAGACAAGCTTCGACACCTCTCATTGCTCGTTGTTGCAGCCAGGGTGCAGCAGTGTAGGTCACATCAGCCGGGTTTTCTCTCAAGTTGGCTGTTGAATTGACCCACGGCGAGGCAGGAGTGTAACCCTAAACCCTTGTTGCTGTTACCAGTTGCTTGTTATGGTTTTAATCTTATCTCGACCCACGGTCGCCAGAATCTTCAGAGCTTCTTCCAGCCGCTGTCCAAGCTCGCCGAGCCTTTTATGAACGCTTTTTGCTTTCTGGCTGGAGCTGGCGGTGAGATTGCCTGCGAGGATACCACACCGTTCGCAGGAGCAGCTAGCCGACGATGAAGAGTCAAAGATTTCTCACACTTGCATCTAGAAGGGGAAGGGCTTCCGGAACGAACACCTTCTATCTCCTTCCTCTCCAGGAGGCTGAACCTCAACCAAAGCCCTTGCACCTGAACTTGAAGCCGAAACCTTGAGCCGGCCAAACCTTAAACCCCAAACCGCGAAAGCCGGATTGGTCTCCCTGGGGGCAGGCTTCGAGCTTCGGATTTGGCGATTCGGATCTGGCGTGGCGAAAGGTATTTCGGCAAAGCTCAGCGGAGACGCCGAACCTCCCGCAAGAAAGGCACCCAAGCAATGATGATTACGATGCCAACAAGCTGAGTAACAATCATCATCATCATCATCATCATCACCATCACCATAAATAGGGTGCTAATGACAACTAACACCAAGCAGTACGAAGAGTCATACTCATTTTCAGGAGTTTTCGAATCCAAACATCACAGAAGCTGCCCTCAGGCCGCAACTTCGCGCCAGCGGCCGAGGGAGACTTCATGGCCCCTAGGCGGACATGCAAAAATCCAGTTCAGGGTTTCGGGCTCAGGGTTTGGGGTTCAGGGTTTAGGGTTTAGGGTTTAGGGTACGGGGAGGGGGGGGTAAGGGACCCCACTTACCAAACCCGTATTAAGTCCTGCTTAGGGTGATTCTAGGCCCTCTAGTAACCTCCGGGTTCTAGGTTCAGGCTCGAGGCTGGGGCGGCCCTACTGACGTTGAAGGTTTTACGGCGTATCACCTTCTTCTTCGAAGTTCATGGCTCTCTCTGCTAGAACTATACGGAGCTTGGAATGTCAAACACTCAGGGGCCAGTGTTAGTTTGCCTTCGAGGTTGCCAAACGAGGTTCACTATGGGTTTATGTCTGCATCTCGCACTCACAACTCGGATTGCGGGCGTGAGAGTCTTGAATCTATCCGACATCTGACCCCAAACTTGATAAAGCCTTTGATAGCCCATGTTCTGAAGTCCAGCTCAGAAGCGGACAGGCAATCGTTCTCTGCCTCGAGCGCCCCCGTTGCTCTGGCGACTTTTTGAGCAGAATGGGGCAGCGGTCGGAAATCGTTAAGCCGATTGTCGATGTCAGGGTGGTCTCCCTGAAATGTATGCTTGCTTCGAGCAGCAACGAGTTGAGATACCTCTTAGTCTTGATACCGCTTGCATCCTCTTTTGCGACCCAAGCATGGCTGGTTGCATGGAAGTCCAGCCGAGGCCGCGGACTCGCAGTGTCAAGCAGGTGAACGGCCTGGTGCAGGGTTTGTGGTTATGCGGCTGAATAAGTTAGAATCGATCAAAGGGACGATGGTAAGCACAGGTAGCTTGTCACAGAACAAGCTTGAGTTACGGTCGAAGCGTTTCCGGTCCGACCCTCCTGGCGGCGGGGAGGGGGCTTGGCCGGCGGAAGTCAATGGACAATCTGCATGGCAGTGTTTAGGGACGCCGAAGCAGTCCCAGGATGTATATAGCCAGAACAAGCAGCAATGTCAACAGCCAGCCGAGAAGCACAGGAAACAGTGCCGGTTCCGCAATTTCACGAGTCTGGTGATTTTCACTTGACCA